AAATCCACGGCTTTCCCTTCTTCTAAGGCCTTCAATAACACCTCAATTTGCTGTCAAACAAGAAATCGTCAATTCATTCAATTGTTGGCAATATTACGAGTCATACAAACCTTTGCTGTCTTGACGTGAGATAAAGCAGTGGTCACTTGGCCTGACTTCTTGGCCAAAAGGGCGGCTTTTTTGTAGTCATCTGTCAGTGCTTTCAGTTTTGATATATCGTCGCTATTATCAACTTCTTTGGGTTTATTCACATCAATAGGCTGATGGACAGTAGTGCCAGAATCTGTAGTGCCTGTGCCTGTGCTTGATGAATTAGATTTAAACATATCGTCTCTAATCTGTGGATTCATTGGTTTCTCGCGATGTGTCGCAAATGAAATCAGGTTTTGATTGTCGGGACCAATAGTTTGTGGCATTTTGTGGTCACTTCTATTCGGAGCACTTGTGGTCACCGTTTGCTTCTGTGGTTTCCTTTCCGATGGCTTAGTCTCGGAAGCGATTGAATGGATTTCCGACAGAAACTGTTCGTCATTCTCATCGATGTCTGAATCGTCTTCATCCGAGTCACCAATTATTCCCAATTTCTCGATATTTAATAAATCGTTGGAAACGGCGAACTCGTTGTTGGGGTTATCGGACAGCTTGTGGTCACTCCTGGATGTCCTCTGACTCTTAGCCTGCTTTACATCCATTTGTTTGACTCGTTTCGTGTTGACCGCCGATGAACTGGTGGTCTGTTTGTGTTGTTTATTCTTCGGTATATACGTCTGTCCACTCAATATAGCGTTCAGTTCTTCGTCCAGGTCTTCCTCATTGTCATCGGCATCCATAGTTTCGTGTTGACCGCCGATGAACTGGTGGTCTGTTTGTGTTGTTTATTCTTCGGTATATACGTCTGTCCACTCAATATAGCGTTCAGTTCTTCGTCCAGGTCTTCCTCATTGTCATCGGCATCCATGTCGTTGTCATCAGCGGTGCCGATGGTGTCCATTGACAGCAACCCCTTAATGTTAGGCAAATCCATTTCGCGGTCAATCACTCAATCACTGAAATGTCTCGCAAACTAATCGCTGTGTTATGTGTTGTGTTGCCTATAGTAGTGTCAACAGTAGTGTCACAACCATTACATCACATGTTTTCATAACAATTATTGATAGGAATTGTGGAGTGAATCACAAATAGGGTTACAAAATGAGTGAACGGATGGCAGCATTGCATTCATATACTCCATACAGTAGTCTACTATAAAAGCGAAAATGACAATACATTCAACACTATCTATACTATACGCCATCAAATAAAATGCATAAAACTTACGATATTATTAATGAGTATTTACAATCAGCTTAGCAAGGTCAGTAAAATAATCACATAAAATCCTTATAAAGAAATTGTAAGTGTTATGCGTTTGATTTGATGGCGTATAGTATACATAGTGTTGACTGTACTG